CCTTATCTTGGCTAAGTCTCCTCTTTATTCTAGGACTCTTGTCCTTTATCCCTTATCCGCTTATCTCGGATTCTGACATCTTCGGAGATAACCTCGGCCTAACCGAGATGACCTTGGCATAACGACCAGGACACGTGGCATATCGGCTGACACATCGGCGTCACCTTGCTACGTGTTGGTACTCAAAAATATATCCCCACATGAACTATAATGGACACCCAGAAATTATTTTAAGATAGATTTTCGTTTGTTTTTTCTTTTTTTTCCCCATATTTTAGTCTCTCTCTCTCTAATTTTGTTGGTTTAAATTCTTAGAAATTATTTGTTAACAGGTTTTCGTTTGTTTTTATAAATTTTTTCCCATATTTTAGTCAACATTTTGACTTTTTAGATACATCAAGGATTAGATGCATGTAAAAAAATAAAAAAAGCTTAACAAAAATATGAAAAAAATATACTACAAACAAACAAAAACCCAAACAAAAATGCACACAAATTTTTGTTCAAATTTTTATTTGTTTTTAGTGATATTTTTAATATTTAAGTCAATTTTTTCCCCCTATTTTTTAGATGCATCTTGATTAAGTACATCTAAAAATCACAAAAAATTGACTAAAATATGAAATAAAAAAATTCATTAGAAATATCGAAATCTAATCTAAAAATAGTTTTGGAAACCAAACATAAATTTTTAAAAGTAAATGAATAAGTAATTTTTAAAATTTATTTTCAAATTATAGTGGAATGAAATAAGCAAGATAACACAATATAATTTTATTTTGGCATTACCAGTTTTTTACATAGAAAATATTTAAATTTTAAATTTTCTGGTATAAACCAAAATAAATCTGAATTTAGATTAAGAACAGTTTTTTTATTTTTTATTATTTTTATCAACAATACATGCATGATGCATCAAGAAAGGCATTTGGGCCGGAATTGGGGCCCAAAAGAGAAGTCCGATCCGAAGATGACATGAAACTGTGATGGGTTTGCCCTGAAAGCCTCTGCAAATCTGTATGCACCTTGAAGCTGGACTCCACATATCCAATTTGGGGCCCAACACTCGAAGAGTTGGGCTAAGCCATAAGCTGCACGTTGGACGAGGGCCCAAACACTCCTACATTCCCCATTTTTCTATTTTTTTATTAGAAAATGCTATACGTTCCAAATTTTCTACCAAATAAACAGTAATGATACATCTCTTAATTTTGAAGCTCTAATTGAACTCTAATGATGTCGCAGAGAATAAAAAAATTTAAAAAAAGTCAAAACATCACCATCACTGTGGGGCCCACACACTTAGAGCTCCTTTAAACCTCCCAATTTAGACCTCTCAAACATTTTCACTAAGGCCAAGTTTGGCAAGTTGCCAAAAAGTCAAAAAGTCAAAAAGTTACTCAAAAAGTTAAAAAATTATCACTATTCACCAAAAGTCAAAAATTACGGATGCACAACTCTCAATCCTAATTTTCCCCTACACACTAATTTATACAATTTTTTAATACACATTTTTTTTTTATAAAAAGTCAAAAAGTTAACCCAAACATCCATATTTTTTTTCCTCAATTTTTTAATTCAAAAAGACAAAAAGTGCACTTATTTAGGACACCCCAAACAACTCATAAATAAATGATCAAATGTCTTACATGGGTGTTGACCCTATACTTGTGGACCTCGTACCTATGTGAGACATTTAATCATTTATTTAATAAAAAATTGGTACGTCTAACATTGTCTCTTTTTCTTTTTTTTTTTTTTTTTTTTTTTGAAACCTGAGGCATCAGTATGGTGAGGGCCGCCAGTTCATTGGGATCCAAATCTGAAAAATGCTAAAATCTTGAAATTTAAATTCATTCACAATGACAAGATAAAGGAGTGTGTAACAAATATAAAGTTGACATATTCTATAATGTCATTGTGAGACTTAAATTTTGCGTTTCAATATTTTTCATAAAATTACCACAAAAAAAAAAAAAAATATTGTAAGAAGAATAAAGATGAAAAGAAAAAAATTATCAAGGAAGTCAGGAAATTCAAAGTAATACTATACCAATTAGTTAAAAACTAATTTGGTGGAAAAAAAATAAAAAAAAAACACTCATAATTTTCATGTGATTTGCTCTTTTCTAGAATGAAAATATCTTTTTGATATATTTTTTTTCTCAAACTAATTTTTGTTTTCCAATTTTTTATTTCAAAAAACAGATTTTGAAAATCCAACAGGGTGTGGTTTGCAAGACCTGGAAAACATTTGTTAAATTGATTGGGTATATTCCCAATACACACAAAGAACAAATGATTTTTTTGGATTACCGAAAAAATAAGGGGCAAAGGAATTAATCAAAAATCTGTTGTGTATCAAGGGCTCCTTCTCGATATAGGATCGGTATTTCACTAACCCATTAGACAAAACTATTCGTTCACTTTTTTGACCCTCTAGAAAATTAAATTTTTTTATTTTTCTAGATTTCTTATCATAATATGCAAACAGTAATGATTCAGACCCCCACAAAACATCACCTCCATAACCCCTACTCATTTGTGATTGGTCTAAGTAAGAAAGAGAAAGGAAAAAAAAAAAACAATGTAAATACATCATTGATCCACATCACTATGGAAGTAGTGAGAGTCTTCCCAAAAAGGGATCCCAAATATTTTTCATATGCAAAACACTCTGCTTGGTGTTTAATTTCTTAGAAATGGTAATCTACTTTACATCATAGTCCAAGTCAATGAGATGGTGAAAGATGTTCCACACCAAACACTGATAGATAATCATAAAATAATTTGAAGTCCTTGCTTGAAAAAATTCTTTAGAATTCTAATTCTTGAATTCTAAAGCGTTCTAATGAGTTGGTAGTGAGCCTCACCCACTGTGATGTAATGATTTGGTCTTGGTTTATTTGTTTGTTTTTTCTTCTTTGTCATTAGTGCTTTATTAGAACATCAAAATTAGTACTCTAAATCATTGTTGGTTTCCATAATGCGCTTAAAAGCTAATGTTTGAAAAGAAGAATAAAATAAAATAAGTAGCATTTTGCCTTGACATGCTAACAAGATTTCAGAAAAAAAAAAATAATAAATAAATAAATAAATAAATAAAATTCACTTAATTTTGGTGAAATGTGATTTTTTTATAACAAAATATTATATTATTGGTAAGCGAGAAATATGAGAAGAAGTCACGTTACATTATGGTGAGATTTGAACCCCGCTATTAAATCGTGTTTGATTTGCAGATAGAATTAAATAAGATAAATTATTTTGAAATACCTAATTCCCATGAGAATACTTTACGCATTTTAAAACAAAAGCATTTTACAGAATAAGTTATTCATCTTGGAGGCCAAATTATCATGTATAGAGGGAATAAAAAAATTAAGATAATGCGATATAATTTTATCTTGGGGTTACCAACTTTTAGAAGGTTTTTTTTTTTTAAACTCCCTAATAATAACAATTTTTTGCATAAAGGACATTAAAAAATGTAATACTGTCTCAGGTCCCTAACCAAAATATCCGCGCATTTTATCAATTTCTTGGACCAAAATACCCTACGTCTGTTCATCTTCAGATGAGTTGATTTTTTTGACCTGAATGGTGCAATTTCAATGCGTGTTTAAACCTTTTCAATCTCAATTTTTATCATTTCTGGTTGTAGGAATGAGAGATGATTCAAAGGAATTTGCGTTGGAATTGTTCGATGCTCTGAGCAGACGACGAAGGTTGAGTGTTGACAAGATCAGCAGAGATGAGCTTTACGAGTATTGGTCTCAAATCACTGATCAGAGCTTCGATTCTGACTCCAGATCTTCTTTGACATGTATGCATTATTATTTTTTCTTTTCAAAAAAATTTAATAGATGTATATATATATATATATACACAATCTGTTGCTTACTGTCTTGACTAGTATATATATGATAATTAATCAATTAAGACCATTTGCAACCATAATCAAATAGTCACTCTTAGTTATCTTATCTATGGTTGCAAACATATACAATGTCAGCACATATATATATATATATATATATCCAGTGTTGAATATAACATCTTCAGGTTCAAAATTTCTCTAAGTGTTGAATATAACGTCTTTTGATTTTTTGGGTTTAGTAGAATTAGAGTTGTTTTTGGAAAAGCAATATTTAGACCCCTACTTGAAGAATATTGGAAAAAGAAGCTTGAGGAAGAGGCAGCAGTAGAGGAAGGCTTAAAGTGAGCTAGAGAAATTTGAATTTTCTCTAGATTCAACCCAGAGAAATTCATACCATTAAGTTTAAAGAAAATCTATCACAAACTCATAGAAGAACTATTAATTTGTTTGTGCAGGAAATTGTGATTGAATCAGCATCAGCAAAACCAATGACAAATTGATCAAATCAGAGTTTTATCGTTCCAGAGAAATTCTGGACTAGAGAAATTTGAATTTTCTCTGGGTTGAATCTAGAGAAATTCCTTGGAAGTCCAGAATTTCTTTGCTTCCAACTGATGATGGGTTGCTTTCCTTCCAACTGTCAAAATTGAACTGCTTTCTGTGCATTTGGGGCTTCTTATTGAAGCTTCTTGTGTTCTTGTTTTTGTAAATTTCTCTGGCTTGCTACATTTGTGTTTCTCTATTGTGTAATTTTATCTGGCATGTTTATGTTTCTTCATTATTTTCTCAAGCAAATTATCTGTGGCTTACTACTCTATTGGTGTGGCTAATTTTCTCTGGCATTTATAATTTTCTCTGGCCAAATTACTTTTCTTACTTGTGTGTCTAATTTTCTCCGGCAGCATTTATAATTTTCTCTGGTCACATGATGTTTATGTCTTGTGTCTAATTTTCTCTGGCATATTTATTTTGTTCAATGCTCCATTTCCTCAAAATTTCTCTGTTGTGTAATTTTCTCTGTCATGTTTATGTTGCTACCTTGTAATTTTCTCTGTTGTGTAATCATTGCTACCTTGTAATTTTCTCTGGGATTTAATGTTTATGTTTTCATTCTATAGAAATGGCAAAGCGCAGAAGTAGCACAACCCCAAAAATCCCGAAAAAGAAACCAAAAGTCTCTGTGTCTGCGTCTTATGATCTTAGATCAAAACGCAGTAGCAGCACCAGAACACCACAAAAAAAACAAGTCCAAGTTGAAGAAGCAATAAGCATCAAGATCAAGACACCAACTTTAAAGGTGATTTTCACTCAACTACAAGCTTAATATTTTCTCTGTCATTTTCAATGGATTATAATAACAAACCTACGATTTTCTCTATACTACAAAGAAAAGTCCAGAAACATGAATAGTGCAAAAAAAATAAATAAATGAAAAGTGCAAAGAAAACATATCAAAAAACTTTGAAAAGTGCAAACATATAAAAACACAACATATAAGTCCAGAGAAATTTGTAATACTTATCATTTGTAATACAATCATATGATTTTCTCTGGACTACAAAGAAAAGTCCAGAGAAATTTGTGAACTTATATTCACTTTCAACATAACAAAAACAAAAACACATTAACATCAAGAGACAAAAATATATTAAACACAAGCACGTAAAAAAATCACAGAGAAGATTTGTTATGTTCACAAAACATTCAATTCAAAAAAAATTTTAAAAAAAAACAAAACACTTACTACTCTATTGCTACGTCTGTAAATTTCTCTGCCTACTTACAATTTTCTCTGTGATTTTCACTGCACTACAAGCTTACAATTTTCTCTGTGATTTGAGTTCAATTATAGTAACAAACCTGCAATTTTCTCTACACTACACAAAAAATGCAAAGTGAACAAAAAACAGAGCACAAAAACGCAGAAAAACAGAGCACCAAAAAGCAACTCATAACCATGTTGACAGAGAATGAAAAAGCAACTCCAAAAATCAAAATCAACTCCATCGAAAATTCATCAATAACAGATAATGAAAAATTAATTTCAAAAATCAAAAACAACAACACTGAGTTCGTCTCTCTCACATTGATCAAAACTAAAAACAAAAACCTAATTCAACATCTACACAATCAAATCAAATCAAAAATTGAAAACTTATCTAATTCAACTCCACATGAAATCAAATCAAACACGATGAACCAGATTTCAACTCCTACACGATCGATCAACACCTACAAACAACGAACATGATTTCAACTCGTACAGGATTTCAACACCTACAAATAACGAACAGGATTTCAACACCTACAAAAACCCTAAAAAAATCTCCACAAAAATCTGAATCGTCAAGTTCATCCTCACGTAATCTCCCACAAAATATCAATATGATCTTTAGCTGCCAAATTGAAAACAACGTATATTATAAACAAGGGTAAGACAGGTATTTTACACTCTAAAATAACATTGAGGGACCTTAGGCTACAAAAGAACACATTGTGGACCTAATCCATTACTAAAAGTTAAATAGGGACCTTAAACCGATTTTCCCAAAAAAAAATGGCATCCGCATTTTCCCAGTTCAGAATCAAACTATAGTATGGTGTTTGGCCTTCGTTAGTCCAACACAAAACTTACATTGATAATTTGAACTATCTAATGTGAAACACATCAAATGCTTTATTCTTATAAAAAAATCATTTTGATTGAATATCCATAATCACTTGATCAGATTAAATTTGTATCAACGATAAATATGATTTTAAAAATAAATTGTTGACACAAATAATCTGATCAAATAGCTATTAATATTTGTTCAATGTGATTTTTTATAAAAATAAAATACTCGACAAGCTCTATATATTCAACGGTTTAGATCATATAAAAAGACTCAAAATGAGTCAGACTGAATAATCTAATTGGATATTTTAATTAGAGAGACTCATTCCCTACATAAAATATGTCAATTAATAATTGGAGGTGTAATAATTTTTTTTCTCGAAACATACTCTCGCATCTGAACTATTAATAAATCAATATTGAAAACAAAAAAAACTTTGAGAGGTTGATAGAGTTTATTATGAGTCTTATTTGAATAATTTAAATTATTTATTTTATGAAATATTTTGTGAATATGATTCATAAAAACGAGATTCATAATGATTATCTCAAGCTCATATTTGAGTTTAAGAAAAATCGGTTTGGGTTAAGCCCGGGGAATTTATTTATATCAAATAAAATAAAATAAAAAAATCATTAAATATACCCAATTCAAATTTTGAATTTTTAATTCTTATTATATTTTAATAGTAAATTTATTAATAAGAACAATACATATTAAATTTTAATAAAATATATTTTTTTCTCATGGTACACTCTAATTACATATGCGTATCTTTTATCTTTTTTCCCAAGTTTTAATTGTTTTCTCTTTTTATTTTTTCTCACTCCAAAACTCTAAACCACCCCACCAAAACTCACAATTATTATTAAATCATCGCTTCTTATCATTGCGAATAGAAAAAAGTTTGAACAAAATCAAACAATGAACGAGAATAATAATGCAAACTGTTTTTTAAAACAACCCATCAAAGAAGAAGTAAGTATTCACATAAATATTAAAATACACTTATTGATTTTTATTTTTATTTTTTACGTAAAAATGAATTTCAACCTATTTATTGTCATTATTGTTTAGACTTTTAAATCCTAACAAAGTCAATATTTTCGGATATAAAAGTCCGAACCAAATAATATTGTTCAGCATTGTAAATCCGAACATAGTAACTTTGTTTTTATTTGGATTCACCTTAAATAGTAATTTGAGAAAAATTATATGTTGTACTGAAAGAAACATAAAACTCTAAATAATTGAATAAAATGTATTGATAAGTACTTAATAATTTTTTAAGTGTAAATAGAATCCCCCGCTAAGCCCATAAGTTGCACGTTGGAAGAGGGCCAAACACTTCTGCATTTGATATTTTTTATTTTTTTATTTTATTTTTAACTTGAGTCCTGCCCCAGTGGCAAGGATGTTAATGTTGGGATCGGGGATCCCGCCCAAGACCTTCCAGAAATTATACCAAGTAGAAAAATACACCCACACAGAAGGAGACACCATATTTAACGTGGTTCGGCCTTAAAGCCTACGTCCACGGGAGAGTAACCGGTTATCACTATAACAATGGAGAGATTACAGAAAGATTATAATAGGGGAGGAGCTCACACTTTCCTCACTCACCCACTCACCCGTCTCCCTCTCTCACACCGAGAGAGACGGTCTTTCCACCTCACATCTCTCACTCTCTTCTCTCTTGGTTCTCTCTATTTGTCTACTCTCCTCTCAACCTCTATTTATACATATCATGAGGGAAGGTAGCTGGACAGCAATGGTGAGTGGATTGGTTAGTGGGGAGGTGCCACTCCCACTCTCTCTAAAGTGGTCTCCAACCACCCCACTCTCTCTAAGGTGGGTTAGCCACTCACATGGGATGATAATAACATAGCCAACAAATCACCCCCTCAACCCATGTGAGGTGATAAACTGCACACACTGCTGCTAATCTTGTCACGCCCAAATTTCAACAGAATCTTCATCTCCTCATTGAGACGCTACATCCCCTGAAGCTAGAGATAATACACCAGAGATACAAGAAGAGGAGGGAATCCTACATCCTCAACTCAACTCATACCACTCTCTGATTTGGAGAGAGCTTCTGCTCCTATCTCCCTCAGATCTCTTCTACGCTTCCTATCTCGGATGTCTTCACTTGCTATGCTTGAACTTGCGCAACCAAGATATCTTGACACCCCCTGATTGGATGTCCTGCACCCCCTGCTCGGGATACCCTTGCATTACCGTGCAACTCCTTGCATGATGAACACTGGAGCAACTAGAAAACTTCAGAGTTTGACACATCAACATCCTCAATTTTCCTTGCTCGGAGCTTATTTCTGAACAACCAGCCTTTGCTTTTCTGCACTTCTGAACAACCTCCTGGCGTTTCCACATACGCTTGTTGTCTGTGCTGCAATCCCTGATGTTCGGTTCTGTCTCACTTGTACGTCCGTACTGATGTTTGACAGTTAGCCCTTCTGCCAAGACAACTTCCACCGCTTTGTACAAGTTACCACTATGCAACTCCGTGCATAGTGAAAAAGAGTTTTATTGATGATTAAAAGAAGTAAATCAATAATACATCAATAAAGAAAAGGCAAGTGCAAAAAACATTATAGCAAAACATACGCATCCCAACTAAGTTGGCATTGATATGAACACCCAATCATATGCTAGCACAACGTCAAGTTTGGTGTGTAACTGAACAAAAGACAAGAAGTAAGAAGTAAGAACTAATACAAAACCAAACATAGCTACACCCAAAAGAACATTGCCATCACAAGGAAAATTCACCAAAGATCAGTCCAGCAAGCAAAGCTAGAAAGCAATTCAACAAATGAAACAGAGAAAACAATAGCAGTGCATTAGGCATTACAAACAGCCACAACAGAGTGGTAAATATTATTGTGGTTAAATTAAATTCTAAATCTCTAACATTTCACATCCTGTAAAGTGGTAAAATAAATATTTTATTGATTTAAATCTATTTTTGACTTTTAAAAAACTATTTTCGCACAAAAAAAAAAAAATCGATTTGAGAACCAATGGTTAGTTTCAAACTTTCAATTTTTTATTTACTTTTTATAATTTTTTATTTTTATGAAATGAAAAACAAAAATGATAAATGAATACAAAGAAACAAGAACACAACCAAACAGGGTTTTATTCTCTAAATATCTTCCATTTTGTGCATATTGGACCCAAACTAAGAACATGATATCAATTGTAGAAATAAAATCCATGCCACACATCCAATCCAATATCAATAAAAATTGCAGAAGTAATAAATAAAACAGATACATCAGCATCTTGAAACATGGATATATAAATTAATTCCCCCCCCCCTCCCCGGC